TAAAGTCAATAAATGAATGAGGCAAAATATTCGAATAAAATAAATTTGTATACTTGAGTATGAAGATGTTGTATTTATAAGTTTAAATTATTTTGATTGGTAACTGAATCAAACATCGCAATTAAACTGGCGTAAATAGATTTATTATTTATATTAATACATAACGCTAAAACATGATTATAAAAATGTGAGTGTGTGAATGCATGCATGAATCATGCTTTGAGCCTCATTTATTTATTTATTTATTTTTGGTGGATGGAGCTTCATTTTATTTTTGCCTTATTATTACAATTTTTTTGGTTAAATAATTTTGTAAGCCTTATAGTTTCATTATTTACTAAAATGAGTATTTGTATTGTAAAAATTTATAATTAAATTCCGACATTGAGATTGCGTTAATCATTATTAAACTCAAAATTCGGTTATAGTTAACAGAGCCAATAACGAGTACAAAATTATTTGAAAAAAACTTCAAAAGTTTATCAATCATAAACTTTTAATTAAATAATGAATTTCTATTTTTAAAATTAATGAAATATACGAACTTATAAAATAATTTATTCATTTTTACAATTCAATTGCATTCACAATGATACCGCAATAACAAAATAGAAGTAATTTAGTCGAGCTTATTAATTTTTTTTTTCTTAACATCCTCCATTTCTTATTATTACATGTAATGAGTTGTGCTGAAATATATATTAGTTGGTGATGAAAATGTGACGGCATACATTATGTAATTTCCAATTTAGTGGGGCTAAGGATAGCAAAATTTGTCTTCCATCACCAAAAATGCATGCACAATTCTCTAATAATGAGTGTAAGATAAAGTTTTATGCATTAAATATTTTCCTTGACAGATAATATATGCTTGTGCATTTAAAGAGCCACCGCAAGCTTAACATATATATGTTCCTTCTAGCAGGGGAAAAAAATCTACGTAGGTTTGATCACTTTTGACTTGGATTGCTAGCAAAAGTACTTTTTGTTGTTATTAGCAAATAATACAATTTCACGTCTAGTGCTTGTGGGACATTGTGAGAACTTTTGAACACTTTTGAAAGAAGTTTCTAACTCTTTTAGCTTTCGCATTCTAAAAATATTTTCAAATTGACAACTTTGTGTGTGTACATTAAATAACTATCCTTTTGGTGGTATATCAATGAATATATAAAAGATTGTAACATTTTTTTGTCAGCAGTTAGCACCTAATAAAATTAGCTAGGTAGAGAGCAGTGGCGAGCCACACCAAAATTTTAGGTGGTGCCAAACTTTTTTGACATATTAAATTATTAAAATATTTATTATAATTACACAAATTAATCAGAAAAAAATTAACTATAAATTCTAACATAGTTATCTAAATTATGTATTAAATAATATCACGTAACATTGAAAATTCAAATGAACAATTATCAATGATTATATATCAAAGCAAACATATAAAAAGGCACTAACCTTTTCGATAATTATTTCAAACATAAGAATTTCACTTTCCTCTCACAACATAATAAGTAGGGGATAAGTTATTTTATCTACCATTTTTTCGTCTACCTTTGCCTATCACTTTCCAACATCGTTAGATCAGAATCTTAATAAGAGAAAGAAATAATAAATGTAATTGAGATTCTAATCCAATGGTATTGAAGAGTGGTAAGCAAAGGTAGACAGAAAAAATAGTAGGTAGAATAACCTATCCCAATAAGTAATGGATCAAGCATTGTCCTAAGTATATGAAAACACACAAATATAATTATATATGCTTAATAACATTTAATAAATAATTTAAAATATAATAGAAAAATGCATACCTAAAATTGTAAACGACGCTCTTTTAAACTGACAAAATCTTCAAGGATAGAATCTCGTAATTCTTGAATAAGTTACTTTGTACTTGAAACTAATTGTATATTATTCAAAATATCTTGAGATTTTTGTTGTAATGCTTGAAAAAGAATTTCAGTGATGCTCATTATCTCTTTCATCAAAAATAAATTAAAGATAAATTTAAAGGAAGTGATCATCTTATAAGCTGCAGTAGCTCCTTCTCTTTGAGAGTAATTTGAGCCTTCACTACGAATTATTTTAAATAAGTAGCATTTCCTCTTTGAGAATAATTTGAGCCTTTATTATGATTGCAATTGTAAGTCACAGATTAAGACTTTGAAAGTAATTTTAATTGATGGGTTAGGTAAAAGGGTTTGGATATTAAATTTTATTTTTCTGATTGAAAAACATAAATATAATTATATTTATTTAGGTGTGCCAAATTACAAATTTAATTATAATTAATTATAATTAATTATATATTTATATATAACAAGTAAAATTTTTTAAAACCAAGCAGGTGCCAAGGCACCTGCTGGCATAGGAGTGGCTACGCCACTGGTAGAGAGTTCAATATGTCACGAATTCAATTAGATATAGTTTTTTAATTAACGGGTTATATAGCTAGGTGTGGAATAATTGGAGAAGCTTGGTGGTTAAGCTACGTTAACACTTCTTGGAAGGTATTTATCTGATATGACCTAAGCAGTGGCGAATGGTTGATTTTGATTAAGTCAATCTCATTTTCATTTGGATTGGATTGCAGTTTACTTCAATACGTTGTCATGAAAATGACCCCTCATAGAAGAACAGGCGAGGATTATTTCTTAGAAAATTATGCGCAATTTCATTGGAGGTTATACGTGAGAGGAAAAAAAAAAACAGCAAGTCAAATCATAATATAACAATGCCTTCGTATGTAGCTAAACTCATAATACGCCAGAGAAGAGAAGTGAATATACTGATTAATATAATAATATCTAACATATCATTATCAACCAATAAAAACATGTTAAACTCAGGAAACGTTAACCCAATTAAATGGCCATTTGCTATATATATATATATATATATATATATATATCCAACTATTTATCTATTAATTAATTAATTTAATCGAGTCAATAGAATTACAAGAATAACAAATCTCTCTTATCAAGTTTTTAATATAACAGCTTACTCAGACTCGGATTTAAAATTATTGATTAAGTTAGAGCAATTCCGTAAATATTTTTATATTTCAACATGATGATGAAAATAGTAAAGACGAATGAAAAATTGTTACCAAAAAAAAAAAATGATGAATGCAATTTTATTAAAAAACAAAGAGATAATAAAACAGATAATTTATGAAAATAGTTAAGTTTTTTTAGACAGATAAGATTTGTAAAAGGTAACACACAAGCAAGATTTTTACCGAATGTATTTATACAATACTTCTATATCAAACAGACGCGCTTTGCTTAATATATTTGAATTAATACTTGCACATCAAACGTTTTGAAAAAGCATTCTTTGATAATGAGATTTATTTAAAAATTATATGATCATTTTAAATCCCAATTTTAAGTGATATGAGTGGAAAAATAGAAGTTCACGAAGGCCTTCTATTTTATTTTATTTGACGTGGATATTTGATGCTTTTATGTTGCAATGCTAAATCTTTTAGTTAATTTGTGCAATATAAATGAATCCAAACCTCTTTTGGAACGATCTTAAGAATGCTGTAACACATCAATTTATTATATATAAAAAAATTCTTGTAAATTAAGGTTAGAAAAATTAATTTTACTTAAACATTGAGAAAATGAGTTTTTTTTTTTTTTAAAAGAAGAAGAAGAAATTAAGGTTATAACTTTTATGTACGGTCTTGGATCTGCGGGTAAACAAACCTGTGTCTTTGTATAAAATAAATAAATAAATAAATAAAAAAGAATTTTAGAAAATGAGAAATATGAAAAAAGCAATTTTAGTATACTTGTCCACTCCACGTGGTTAGAAACAGTCTCTCTCTCTATCTCTCTCTCTCTCTCTCTCTCTACTTCCTTTCGCTTTCAAGTTTCAACACTGTCTCCCTCTCTTTCTCTCTCTCTCTCTTCATCCTCTATCTTCTATTATGTATATATATGTGTAAAATGATTAGAAGCCAAGGATCCCATTGCCATCGTTTACAAGTGCAAGCTAGCTAGTTCTATTCTCCTGCATCAACATTTCAAAGGCAACCATATCATATCATATCACATCCTCATCTCCTCAATAGTTTTCCATTACCTCATCCCCTCAACCCACTACAGATTCTTATCTCCTTCCTTGTTTTTTGGTTCTCCATTCTTCAGGTGAGTTACTTGCTCACAATTCACTCTGTTGCTCTTCATTTTCCTTTTCTTTTTAAGAATCTATTTTATAATGGTTGTTCCCTTTATTGAAAAAATGATATCCATTTCTGCATATTGTATTTTGTGCTTAATGTTTTGAACGCTGTTCAGATGAACTACTGGGTACTTTAATCTAAATCCATAAAGAGAAAGAAATATGATTTTTTTTTTTTAATTATTGATGCTTGTTTTTTTTTAAAAAAAAAAACTGGGTTAATCTGTGGTATTTTATTTGTTTTGATTTGGAAGTTTGTTTGGTTTATTTGGAATCTGTTTTCATACAATGAAATGGGGTTCCCTTGGTACTATGTTTCATGTTCTCCTTTTATGGACATGAGACTGTCTTCTGGGATTTTCTTTATTTGGCTAAAAGTGGAAGCTTTTGCTAATGGGTTTTGCGGATCCGTGGTCGTTTCTGATGGTATTGCTGTTCAGTTCGATGAGAATGTCTTCTGTTTTTACCTTCATACTAATAAATAAAACAATGCATTTTTTAAAAATAGGTCTTCTTGAGAATTTCCTTTTGTATTTTCTAATCAGCATATATATTTTTCTTTTATTTTTTTAATTTCATTTTAAGGATTTGTGTGAGTGTGATGTGAGTATGCTCTCAAACTCAGTTCTCGGGGCTGTGTTACATTCGGATTTTATATTATTAATGTTAATAGCTTTGGTATGTAGTTATTCCATCCACTTTGACACATGAAAAATGCATCATCTCGTTGTACTTTAATGTTGACTTTGCAATTTTCAGGACCACGGCAAGCATAAGTTTCTGCAGATTGGTGTTGTTGTCATATGGGGATTTCCTTTACATGTCCATTTGCCAAGTACAATGATGTGGAAGATGGCCTAGACTCTATGGTTGTAAAATCCATCAACTTTGGCAATGATGAAAACAATACCCCAGTACGATCAGTCAGTTTCAAAAATGAAGTTTTAGAACCCACCATCCTTAAATCTCTAGGTTCTGGGAAGATGACAATAAAGGCATCTGTGAGCTTCAAAAGAAAAGATGTTGATAACATTATCTCAACCGATACCCTTTCATTTGACACACAGCTCTCAAGGATTAGCAAAAAGTGCAAAGAAATGGATGATCAGTCTTTTAATTCAGAATGTCAAGTGGAAACGATCCAATCAGCACTTTTGAATCCAAACAGCCCCAAACACATTGCTGCACTTAAATTGCAGAAAGTATACAAGAGCTTCCGTACAAGAAGAAAGCTAGCAGATTGTGCAATTCTTGTTGAACAAAGCTGGTACTTATTTATTAGTCTTATAACCTTTTCCATTCTTTACAAAACTTGGTCCGTTTCTCACATGTGTTTGTTTGATCTTTGATTTTATAAATAGGTGGAAGCTCTTAGATTTTGCTGAACTCAAACGCAGCTCTATATCTTTCTTTGACATTGAGAAACATGAAACTGCCATTTCACGTTGGTCTAGAGCTAGAACTAGAGCTGCTAAGGTACTTTTAACATTATTCTGCTTTGGAAGTTTTATTTATTTTTTTGGAAGGGTGATGGTGTTTACTGATTAATACCTTCAATAAAGTTCTCCCTAAGCTCTAACCTTTTAAGTTCAAATTTTCAAGCTGTAATAAACTGAATTGAACTTCTCTTTGTCATTGCAGGTTGGAAAAGGTTTATCAAAAGATGACAAAGCACAAAAGCTTGCTCTGCAGCATTGGCTTGAAGCGGTTAGTCAAACACGACTGAGCTAGTTCTTTATCTACTTATAAATTGATCTATCTGTCATTCATCAATTATTACTTACTGAAATGTTTTTATTGTGTAATAGATTGACCCACGCCATCGCTATGGACATAATCTCCACTTCTATTATGATAAATGGCTTCAGTGTCAGAGCAGAGAACCCTTCTTCTACTGGTAATATTCTTTGCAAAAAAATTTTCTGAGTTACAACTTATGCTACTGTTTTGTATAGATCTTAAATCACCAGAGTTTGAAATTAAGCTTCTTCTTTGAAAATGCATGCAGGCTGGATATAGGAGAAGGAAGGGAAGTAGTTCTTGAGAAGTGCCCTCGTTCTAAGCTTCAACAACAGTGTATTAAATATCTGGGTCCGGTAAGGTTTCCTTCCTCAAATTATGTGAACATCCTTTTCTTAGACATATTTATGTGAGGTATCTTTGTTTTAAACTTTTATTAACTATTCTCATTCTTCTTTCCTCCAGATGGAAAGGTTGCCTTATGAAGTAGTTGTGGAAGATGGAAAGTTCTTCTACAAGCAATCTGGTGAGCTCCTTCATACTACTGGAGAAGAAGATGCACATTCCAAATGGATTTTTGTCCTTAGTACATCTAAGACATTGTATGTTGGCAAGAAGTCTAAAGGTTCATTTCAGCATTCTAGCTTCTTGGCTGGAGGAGCTACATCTTCTGCTGGGAGACTAGTGGTTGATTATGGTAGCTTGAAGGTATAAATCTGGCAGAAGGCTCATAAATTTACTAATCTTTTGCTGGATTCCTATTACCATAAGTAGCTATTTGTTTAAAAAATTTATATTATGTGCTTAGTTAAAAATGATTTTGTTGTTTTTTTTCAACAGGCAGTTTGGCCTCACAGTGGCCACTATCGTCCGACAGAACAGAATTTTAAGGAATTCATTTCATTCCTTCAGGAGAACAATGTGAACCTTTCAGATGTCAAGGTATGAAAAATTAAAACAAAGGCTTTACATTATTTTGTAATGGTTTAGATATGTAATTACAAGATGTGAAAGAATATATTCTGAGGAAAATCATTTTGCTATATGCAGATGGCTCCAGTTGATGAGATTGATGAATCACGTTCACTGAGAAGCAGTAGTCATCTTAGAAGCGACTCATCTGAAGAGGACTTCACTGAGAACATGAGTGGCTTAGAGACTGAAGAGACCATTGTCCAAGACCTAGTTGCAAAGAAGGCCAATTTGATAGAAACAAAAACGGCTTCTGCATTGATGGCACCTAGCACAAGGCAATTGCATATGCTTGAAAGAGAACTGACAAATCTTGAAATACCAAAAAGGGGTCAAGTGTTTGAAGGACTAGAAAATGAGAAAGGAGGTGCAGGGCAAAATTGTGCGAGTTTCCAAAGGGAATCTCCTGGTCAAGAAATAGCACAAGCATATGTATCAGATTTAGATCACACAATTCCAAAGGAAAACTTCTCTGATGACAATGACATAGAAACCATTCCACAAGAGTCAATACTTAAAAGAATCAACTCACATAAAGAACTGAAATCATATCAACTAGGGAAGCAGTTGTCTTGCAAATGGACAACTGGTGCTGGACCGCGCATTGGCTGTGTGCGCGACTATCCTTGCGAACTTCAGTTCCGAGCTTTGGAGCAAGTTAATCTGTCACCAAGAAGTGGATCTCGCTCTAAATCATCCTTTGCTCCTAGAACCACCACTGGGTTGAGCTCTAGTGTTTCATCTCTAGCAAGTTTATGTGGGGACACAACAACTGAACCACAAGTTGAAAATAAAAGTATGTCTCAAAGAGACGAGCTCAATTCAAGATCAGAATTCTCCCCATTGATCAGAGGAACATCAGTGATACCAGTTATTCGTATGTCATGAGTGAACAGGATTCCCCATTAATTTATTCATTTGTGTCAATAGGTAACAAATATATGATTTTTTTGTTATTCTTTCCATTAAGATTCACATAGGCATTCTTTTTTCACTCACGTATAATGTAGGATGAAAATTGTAAAATTCTTTTAGGGTCTATATGCCCTCTCAACACAAAGGAAAACATTCAACCTTCCTCCATGTAACAAGTTTACTGAACTCAAAAGTTACTTCAGATTCCTGGGTTCAAATATATACTCATATATTGTAGGTTTAAAACGATCCTCATGTAAGTTTAAACTGTCCTGCTTCCAGTGAAATTTAAGTCTAATAAACATTTCTTGAAATGCAGCCAAGGGCATGTTTGGACTTCCAAGTATTTTATAGAAAAAAAAATGTCTCTCTAAAGTGCTAAAAGACCTCATAAATCTTCGATTTTTCAGCAATTTAGTTGAAAAAAGTGCCAGAACCTTCAGATGTTAAATGACACCAGGAAGTTTTTATTCCACTTGGTAATTTTTCTTTTTAAAATTTGACTCACTGTTCAAATTGGTCTTGCCTCGTTGGCCTTCGCATTATTAGAGGAAAAAACCTATAATACTAAAGTTGTACGTACAATGCATCTATAGAAGTGCTCTACGTCAGCTAATTATCATGTTTCGTGAAGAGAAACTGATAGAGAAAAAAAAAACTTTAATAATATTTTTATGTATTCTCCGCCATATATAATTTATAATTTAATTTTGAATAACTATCGTACAACAGTAGTATAGAAAATGTTGGGTACGATAGTAGTATAGAAAATGTTCTCGCATTAGAGCCATGTTGTGCATGACACTATCATAGCATTAGTACGTGTAAAATGATGTTATCAAGCAACCACCACGTCAATCATCATATTCATTCTCTTCTATGTTTTTCTCACACAACACCTCTGTTTACTATCGGAAATTGCAACAAGGCAATAGGAGGCATAATCATAATCTTACACGGTTCAAGTTCTTAAAAATATTCGGGTGGGAATGGTATATATATTTAAAGAAAGATGGATAAGTTGTCCAAGTTTCAAAACACTTTTATGAATGGCCAACACGGTGACTTGCAAAATAACAAAATGTTTTCATGAGGCAGGAATGAAATATTTTTCTTTTGTTATAGAAGTAAATGCGTGACAAAATTAGAAAAACTATGTAATGACTTTTAACAATGAAAAAATATTTTGTAAATCATATAACTCAAGTTACAAATTTTCTTCGAAAGTGTAACTCAAATATAACTTGTTTATATTAAAAAAAGAAGAAGTAAAATATCAATGCACGACTCCTCGTGGCAGGGTTGTTGTTTTACGGAGAACTTTACAGCAGTTTAACAATATTTTTCTTCGCATTGCTTGATTCAGATTAATCTTTCTGTTGAAACTCAAATAGTAAGATTAGATAGCCCGTGTTGTAGACGGGTCAAGATTTATGTTTTGATTACGATGAAAATGAAATTTCTTTTTGACATGTGGCAATCTCATTTTGTGGCGCGTATTCTTTGATTTCTTAGGTTCCCCAAAGTTATTTCTTAGTTTAATTTTCTGGGTACTTTGTGGTCTTTTTTCATTGTCCCAGTGTGTTTTGTCTCCAGTTTCAGAATATGGTCTGTAAATTATCCCATTGCAGTTAGTTATAGCCAATTCAATGCTCCACGCAAATTATAATTGCATAGACCCCATTGGTATAGTTGGCTTAGTTTAGCCAATTGATAGTGGTTTTTTATCACGGGTTTTTTCTGGACCATCACACACATATATATTTTTATAATAATGCATTCTTAAGCTTCTATGATATATTCACCTCAAACCCTCGTATCAATTCACGTTTCAGAGCATAAAGTCTATCAGAAAAATTTAGAATCCCATGAAAAACTTGCAATTACGATTGTAGTTATGAAGAAATTAAGAGAAACAAAACATGGAGAAAAACTTTTATATATTTTTAATGCAATACATCAAAAGTTTTGCATTTTTTAATACAACTTGAACATAGAATTCATGTATATATAAAAAAGGAACATAGAATTATCACCAATCTCTTTCACACATTATATTCTTTTTTTTTTGGATATATTTCAATCGATTCATCGCTTCGTGACTGGTTCGATTCGGGGTGGGTCTTGGAATTAAGACTTTAAATCCCTCCCAAAGACGGTACTGGGAAGGATTGAATTACCGGATTGAATTACCTCCACCTGCTCAGTTCTCTGGTGCCAATTGAACTACCATCATTTGGTCTCACACATTATATTCTCACCAATCTCTCACACACTTTTATACTGTGGCACTTTCTTTTCTCACACTATTTTTTTTTCAAACACTTGGTAGAAAATATATATTTTACTATGACATTAAGTATCCTTATTTATAGATGGACTAACCCACTTTGGTGCCATCTTTAATTTCAGACCACGACTTAAAAGATAAGGTCTCAATTCACAATGATAAGAATACAGCCCATAAGATAGAGATAGAGAGATTCTAGCAGGTAGAAAACTGTGTTTGGTGTTGATTCGGAAAGAACTCGAAGACTTTTGGGTTTAAACGCTCTTACAATACCATTGTTGCAAATTCGAACTGTGTGTTGAGAGATAAAATATGTCAAATGAGATGTCATTGTGTAAATCTCGAAAAGTTACGTAGAATAAAAAAAGTTACCTAATTCGGACACCCGATTGAAGTTTTACGATTAAATTGTTGATTTTTTTTATGACACGTGTCAATATTAGATGAGTCACGCTTAACTTAAGCATGAATGGTCAAGTCTAAATTAGTCATAAATGAATGCAATAGATCAGTAAATTGGTTCAAAACAGTTATATTTTAAATAATTATTTATTAAAATAGTAATATTTTATTTTGTTTGTCTGCTACGTCTAGCTTGTGTATAATTTCGTTTGATTTTAGATCATTAAAAAAAGAATTCTATAAGTTATTTTAGTTCAGAAAAAATTCGAAGGCTTTTGGATTTAAATGCTCTTTATAATACCATTGTTACAAATTCAAACTGTGTTTGTTAGATATAAAATATGTCAAATGAGATATTAGATCTCGAAAAGTTATATGAAATAAAAAAAATTATCTGATTCGGATAACAGAATCAAAATTTAATGGTCTTCCGAAATTTTATGGTTAAACTATTTCTATGCTTTTTTTAATGCCATGTGTCACCACCAGATGAGTCACGTCTAGAGAAAAAGCATGAATGCATCATGAGAGTCATGCCTAACTTGTGAATGGTGACGTGAGTGAACAAGTGCAGTAGATTCGTGATTTAGTTCAAAATAATTATATTTTTGTAATTATTTATTAAAACAACAATATTTTATTTTTTATTTTTTTTTGCCAGGATTGAGATGTTTGCTCATTTAAAATCGAAGAAGCAATTGGAGCCTTTGATTCTTGGCGTTGGTCTTTATATTTAAAATCCCGTTTATCGTTAATCTTGATATACTCATTGCAATATTCACACGCCATTTACCAGGTAAACCCTAATTTATGCCCTCTTTTTATTTCTCTATATCTCAAATTCCCCCTATTTTGCTTTGTTTTTCAAGATCAAGATTCATACTTTAGATGTGATACTGCGTATGTAAATTGCGTTGTCGAATGTTTCTATGCTTTCTGCTAAACAAGTTGCTCTGCTGTGTGATGTTGTGTTCTGTGATTTTTATGATATTGCTTTTAGAACTGGCTGATTAGAGATCAGTTGCAACGAAGTTTGCATCTTGAAGCACTGCGTAGAGTTTTTAGATTGTTCTTGGAGGGATTAGAGACTGATTCGGCAAAATACAACTCTTGGTGAAAAGAAAAGAAAAGAAAAGAAAGTCATCAAGAAAGTCTTATTGCATAAACAGCACCCCCACATAAATTTTATCTTTGATCCTTGCTTATATACTATATAGACTACATAGCAAATCATCTAAAGAGGGATGCACCTAGTTAATGCAACAAGTTATTTGTATTATTAATGGTTTTATTTTTTTAGCTGTTTCTGCACATAACATACATATTAGGAGAAAGAGTATGAGCTTAATGCAACAAGTTATTTGTAGTATTAATCCCATTAAGTATGGTTGTCTGCAAACAAAGAACATGAGCTTAGATCTTTGGATTTCTAACTGTATTTGTCAAGAATGAACTTTTTATAGTTAGGAAACTAGAGTGAGTGAGAAGCTAAAAGAATGATTTACCGGAGAAGCTCACCCAAGGAATCCAAAGTTCAAATTTTCCTATCTGAGTTGGCTGAGAAGTGAGAAATTTATAGAATCAAATAAAGGCAGAAGGTGTTATAATTTACTTAGTTTAGTCAAAGGCACCAAAAAGGCCTGCCTGAGGCACCGAGACAAGGTGCTAGAAGGGATCAGTAGATAACAGTGAGAAGAAGCTCTGAAAGACCAGCCATCAAATTTGCTAAATGTGATGCTTAAGGGGGTAAAGTAGTAAGAATGCTATAATAATAAGTAGTTGTTGGTCTTTGGGAATTGGGACTCTTAGCAGCAAGCAACTTAGGGCTTTGTAAGTTGAACGTCATAATCTGTTATTTATAATGTGAAATGTGAATATTATGCTGGACTAGTTTGTATGAAGAATCAATGCAAAATAGTCAAAAAAATTTCTGTTTTCTTTTAGTAAGGTGCCTCTCACCTTAAGATATTAAAACCCCCAAATCCTCTAAGGGTGCCTGTTATATATATATATATATATACACACACACACACACATTTTGTGAGAGTCATGCAAGGTAGAAAGATTGTACAGGCTAGGAAAAGCCTCTAAGAGAGGAAACCAACCAAAGTTGTTATAGAATGTTTAGTTTCATGGCCTATCATGCTCTGTTTATTTTCATGTTCTGAAATTTCTATTTGTTATGAATGTCATTTATACTGTCATAGGTGTAACATGTAAGCATGGTATCCTGTTTTATTGTGTTCACGTGATAGATTTGATTATGAAGTGCTCTTTATAATGAAACAGATAGACCATGCTACCATATTTTTTGTTGGATTAATGGTCATTGCTGGTTTCAACTTGCACCTTTCTAGTTCCAACTAATTTTGCTAGGTTGATGCAATCTTCAAAGCCTCAATATTTGTGGATAGGTTTAAGAATTTATTCCTTCTTTCTCCTAAACAAATTGTGTTTAGATAAAGAGAGAGAATTCTAAAAAAAAAAAGAAAAAAGAAAAAAGAGAGAGAATTCTAATGATGTTTAGGGTGGGTCTTTGTATCAATATTTCTGACTTGTTACACTTTAATTATTGAATTACAATTGGTATTTCATTATTAAATCCTTTTTTTTTTGGGTTGTTTTGATATACGGCAGATTTTGTTTCAAGCAGCAACATCTTGAATTTCAAAATGCCGAAAATTAGAAGAGTGCAGTCCCCATCTATTGATTGCAGTAGATCATATCCTTATCCTTCCAGCTCCCAAAATGTTGAACGGCATAAACCTATGAATTTATTGGGATCAGTTGATGAAATGAAAGAATGGGAGGACGCCAGGTGTCCTATTTGCATGGAACCCCCTCATAATGCTGTTCTTCTGAAATGTTCTTCCCATGAGATAGGTTGCCGTTCTTATATGTGCAATACCAGTTACCGGCACTCCAACTGCCTTGACCAGTTTTGTAAGTCATTTGCTTCTCATCTCTCATCAGCAGTACTGCAAGAAATTCCTCTCACAAGCACAAGCTCCAGTAGTAGGGAATTTCAGTCAGAGCCCCGGTACCCCTCTGAATGTGGGAGCCAGCGGCAACCAAAGCTCATCTGCCCTCTTTGCCGAGGAGAAATATATGGATATATGGTTTTGGAGCCTGCTCGTAGCTATATGAATTCTAAATCAAGGAATTGCTCTTCTGAGACGTGTGAATTCCAGGGGACATATCCAGAACTCAGGAAGCATGCTAGGTCTGAGCATCCTTATGTTCGACCGTCAGAGGTGGATCCCTCACGACGGTCTGATTGGTTAAGGATGGAACAGGAAAGGGACTTAGAAGATCTTGTTAGCTCTATCCATGCAAGATCTGGTTCAGAATACAATAGAGACATCATTTTGGCTGGGGGTCTTGCTGGCTTGATGTCCTTGTTCTTGTTTGAAATCTTTTCCTCTATTCAAGATGTTAACCGGATGGCTACTTTGTCCTTTAATTCAAGGCATAGAGTGCCCTTACATGACTTAAGGTCTGGAACAATGCAGTGGGTATCAAATGATACACAGACAAATCAATCAGCTAGATGGAGATCCAATTTACCTTCAGCTCATCAAACGGAGAGAAGTAGTGGAGGTAGAAGGGGAAATAATTTATCATCATCCCTTGATCTGGAGGCTAATCGTACAGCTAGATGGAGAACAAATTTATCATCTTCAAGAATCCCTCGTGATGTTCATCAGTATTATACAGAGATCAGAACTTCTTCAACAAGGGCCTCACAAGTTACTCAGACTAATTCTCAGAGCAACATTCCTTCATCTGGAAGAATTCCCGGTCATCAATTACGCTGGCGTGATCAAAGGTGGTCAACACACTATAATCAGGATGGCAATAGATTTTTGTGATGGACAAAATAGTCTGTGTCATGTAACTACAAAAGCTTACTTCTGCTATGTACTATTGAGATTCTTCAATTATCATTTCATTGGAGGATTTGGTTTAATGAAATTGTATTGCAGCTGTTAATTTTTCGTCTTACATTTTGTTTTTGCTAGAGGATAGTGTAAATGTGAATTCATTCAGCCACTGATAAGGCCACATACCCTATCCAGTTCAACTGTTGAGCTGTCCTTTTAGCCATTTTAGGGTTTTCCGAAGACATGTAATAGGTTCCTTCAAGGTTGATCCTCAATATTATGAAAAAAATGGGGGTAAGTAGAGAACAATGAAAAGAGGTAGCAAATTTTAGTTCTTGGTTAAGGATAAGGTGAAAAATCAGCCAGAATTGACTCTTGCAATGTTTACATCATAAGGAACATAGGATGCAGTGTAGCCTTTTCACTTTTAGTTCGAATCATCTTGTTATATGTATGTGTTCGTTTAACATTGATATTAAGTCGTGTTCCCCACGCCCCCATTTAGGCTTATTCATGATGCAAGCTTGAAAAAAAAAAAATAATCCCGATTAATTTGTTTAAAAAAATAAGGAAGTTTCAGAACAAGGTGAAGCTTTTTTTTTTCCTTCTTCAATCAGGTTTTTGTGTGTGTGTGTGTACTCTTTTAAGTGTGAGATTAATCCTTATTTGAAGTAGGAAATGTTTTTTCTTATGAGCTCAAACTCTTACATTTCAAGAAACATCTTATTCATTAAATTTAAATTTATTTTTCATTTAAGTTAAAAACATCGATTATGATCATCCAGGGATGCCACATTTGGTAAGCGAGTTGCATCCAAGGAGCTAATGGTTGAGGCTGAAAGGTTTTTGGTTGGAATCTTAAATAAAACAACATAGGGCAGTGACTAAAACCTTTATGCTTTACGTCACAAAGGGATTAATTTCATTCAATTAAGTAGGGACATTTTGGAAAACCGAAAAAATAAATAAAAAATACATAAATTACTAGTAAATATGATTTCCTGTTAGAATTTCATAAATTCCAAGAAAGATAGTAACAAAATTAATTTTATTATTTCAACAAAACACTTTTTTTTTTTGGAAATATACACTTATTTATAATAATTACAAGAGGTATATGTATATTAATGAAATCAGCCCTTTCAAATACTAGAATTTTATTGATCTTGTCTATAATACATCATGCTACTGAAATCATTTTAGGAAAATTCAATTATCTTGGTTCTAGGCGATTAATTTAAAATATTAACTATCAAGTACAAATTAATTTTTTTCTTGATCAACGATAATAAATGAATCATCATCATATCACATTATCATATCATCACAATTATAAATTATAGAAATATATTAACTTCCTTTTGCTAAGATTGAACTAACTTCCTAATTTTATAAATGACCACTTTTAAGTCACTGTAAACGAGTTCGTGGTGTGGAGTTTGAATCAATGTTATAAAAACTGGGTCGACCCGAAAACCAGTGAACCGGTCATGTAACCGGTTCGATTTTCATATTGAACCGGCCATGTTACAGAACCAGTGTGACTCGGTGCGATTCGGCTGGTTTTCGTAAAAATCGGTGATCTGGTCGATTCAACCGGTGACCCGGCGCGATTTATAAAAAAAAATATTTTATTTTCATAAATTAATGTCTTTTTTTTTTTTTTACTCTCAAACACAAATGATTTGTTTTCTTTTGAAATATTTGAGTGATTTGTAGCTTATTAACTTACATAGATTATGTACCTACAACACTAATATAATCTTGATTATGCATTATGCAGGGAATTTTGATTTGATTTATAGTTAGAGATGTCATTTACTGAACTTAAAACACTAGTATCATAAATATTATATGTTTGATTGATCTTTTGTTAGACAATGATTTGTAATTTATAATGACCCTCACATTTAATTATGGATTTAATATGGAAGGATAATTATAAAGAAAAATAAATAAAGTCACCTTTGGTGAAAAAGTAGTTAAAATGAGGGTAAACAAAGTTATCCGAAAAGTGAAAGTAAAGTTAAAAATATGTCTGAAAAAATATTCTAGTTCATTCGGTAAAGTTTGGTATTGAATGGAGGTGTGTAGATATTAACCTATTTGACTCTAAAACACAATGACATTGTTCATTTGTTCTCCGTCCCAGTACGTCGGTCTCCATTTTTTTTCATGCTAGGTTTCCTTTTCTTTTTTTTCTTTGATTTCTCTCTCCACACTCAACCAAATCCTTAAGTCCATTACATGAAATTTATAGTAAATCATCTAACGAATCCATCCCACCACTTATTTTAGGCTGAAAATGCTTGTGTAAAAAGTTCTCCCTTCCTCTTTTGCGAATCACTACTCATCAAAGAGAAGAAATTGGAGTTTTGGTGGAGCTTTGCTTGGAGGTTGTTCTCTAGGCTTTGTATAAGGGATTAGAGGTAATAAATCTCTATTTTCATGGTTTTATTTTGTGAATTAAGTCTTGAAAGTTGTGAGCATGTTTTGGTGAGAAATAATTTAGTTTGGAATTTGAAATTTATGAGTTGGAGAATGAAAATGGCGTGAAAATTGTTGAAAGAAGCCTTGGTCCCCTTTATGAGTACCCACGGCCTTATGAAGGAAAATTGCATGAATTATGTTGAAAATTCTCAAGTGGCTACTTAGTAAATTTAGGGAACGTTAATGATTATAAAATGGAAAATGAAACGAAATTTGTAAAGGCATGGTCTTGACTTGTAAATTGGCATAATGTGAGTGAACGAAAGTGAGCAATAAGATGTATGCCTTATGTAAATTTCATGGCATTACAACATTTTATTGATTTTTGTCTTGATTCCTTCTCTAGGTACCTAGGGACTGTGAAGGTTTGGATTATCGTGGATCAAGATAAGTAGCTTGTTCTTCAAGTAAGCAAATTGTAAAGCTCTAAGAGGTAAGCTCTATGTTTATGAGGTTCGCTCCTACTTTGTGTTCCGCCATAGTGTACGGACTGTGGTCAGGTTGTATGATATGTATGAGATATATGATATAGATGCATTCATATAGAGCTATATGATAATATAATATGTTTTGTTTTGATGGGTTTACTTTGATATGTGTTAATATGATATGTTTTGTTGAGTTCCGCTTGGGGTCCACCCTTGAGAACACGTACACTGATTCTCACTTGGGGTCCTCCCCTGGGATTGACTGTGTACACATTTGTTATATGACTTGTTCTGATATGATTTCTGTATTGATCTTTGGCTGGGATTGACTTGTATGGTACACTGATGTCTTCTTGGGTTCCTCTGAGATTGACGGTGCACACCTCTGATATGTTCTGGTTCCGCTTGAGGTCCTCCCTTGGGAACACGTGCGTTGATTTCCGCTTGGGGTCTTCCCTTAGGAATGACTGCGTACGCCTCTGATATGTTCTAGTTCTGCTTGGGGTCCTCCCTTGGGAACACGTGCGTTGATTTCCGCTTGGGGTCCTCCTTTGGGAATGACTGCGTACGCCTCTGATAAGATTTGTATATATGTTTTGCTCAGTGAAGATATGTTTTGGTTGGGGTCATCCCTAGGGATTGACTGTGTACATATCTGATATGTTGTTGTCTCCGCTTGGGGTACTCCCTTGGAGAACACGTACATTGATTTTCGCTTGGGGTCATCCCTTGGGAATAACTGCGTACGTCTCTAATAAGATATGTGTATATGTTTTGTTTAGTTATGATATTTGATTATATGACATGTTTTATGTGATATGTATGATGATTTTGTAAATGATATTTGTTACGTACGTTGATTTTCGCTTGGGGTTATCCCTTGGGAACGATTGCGTACGTCTCTAATATAACATGTTTTGTTCTGATGTAAGTATTGTGATGATGTTGTAAATGATATTTGTTACGTGCGTTGATTTCCGCTTGGGGTCATCCCTTGGGAATGACTGCGTATGTCTTTGATAAGATATATATATATATATATATAGAGGCAGGATATTCTTACACCAGTGTAAGAGTTAGAAGTCTTACACTCAATCTTGACCATTGATCCACTTGTATCGAATGACTCACATTACTAAAAAATTTGAACCATTAGATATAAGTGGAATCAGCGGACAATATTAAGAGTGTAACTTACACTGGTGTAAAATGATCCTAACCCATATATATATATATGCTTTGTTCAGTTATGATAATTGCTTATATGATGTTTTGTATATTATGTATCTGATTGTCATGCAGGAGGTGAGCCCAGGGTATGGAGAGTTTTCCATAAACCTGGAGTTTACTAGAGATTCGTCTCTAACCCCATTTGGGGATATGATTTCAGGAACACAGTTAATTGAAGAGCCTCATGGGACAAGGACACTAACCGGGGCTAGAGGTACTAGTATGAGGATGTGGAGTTCTAGGTGGCTGGAGGCTACTATTTATTTTAGACGTATTTTTGGAAAAGATGTATTGTTGTATAGTGTTCATATTCGATGCATGTACATTTGTGTATTCAGGCATGTTGATATGACTATGTAGTATTCAATTATGTTATGTATTGGATTGCATGCTATTAGATTAGTGGCACGGAGCCAAGTTCTGCATGCGCCCATGGATGGGTATCTGAGTATATTTGCATGACTGGTACTTCTGGATATATATATATTGTTTAAACTGTCTATCAAGAATTCTTGAGAGTGGGATTGGAAGATTCCCAGTTGTCCGACTTACCGAGGTTACTCTGTCCGATTTTCGTTTACGCCTAAGGAGAATTAAAAGGGAAAAAGAAAAAGTTAGCTCGTATTTTCGTAAATTTAAGTCTTCCGCTATTTCTGTTAAGTATCATATGTATGTTAACCTGCTCGAGGCTGGGGATGTTACATAATTTATTATTTTCATATTAAAATATTTGAAATTGGTATATTTTTTTACAAGTATTTAAGTATGTTTATAGTTTTTTTAATATAAATTGTAAATTTACATATACTTACCGGGTCATGCGGTTGAACCAGTGACCCACTGGTTAAACCAGTAACCCAGTACCTCGACCGGGTCAATAACCAGGCCGAGTTTAATAACATTGGTTTGAATAATTTATC